TGCTAAAACACTTGTAACCAAACGACATGCTGCATGTGATGATGGGTTTTTTTAAAATCTTTTTGTGCTTTTTTCTTTTTTCTTTTTTTTTTAAAAAAAAGGGAAAAGACCCAAAAAGCGGGGGGGGAAACCATCATCACATGCAGCATGTCGTTTGGTTACAAGTGTTTTAGCATCTGCATCTTCAAATAATATTTACCGTCTCAAATGTTTCATCTAATATAACTAAAGGCCTCATTTTCATTCTACAATATATATTCAATTGCATCTTAATGTGCATATTTAAATGCTGATGATTGTTATTTAAATATAAACATAATGCATCTCATCCTAGTGAAAAACAATGAACTGAAATCAGAACAAGTTGGAAAGATTGGCATTGGTGAGTATGGGATGGGAACAAAAAAGTTTTCTAACTACAGAATAACAAAATTGGGAATGACCTTGGAGGTCTTCTAGTCCAATCCCCTGCTCAGGCAGGAAACCCTGTACCATTTCAGACAAACAGTTGTCCAATCTCTTTTTAAAAACCTCCAGTGTTGGAGCATTCACAACTTCTGGAGGCAACTTGCTCCACTGATTAATTGTTGAAAGGAAATTTCTCCTTAGTTCTGGGTTGCTTCTCTCCTTAATTAGTTTCCACGCATTGCTTCTTGTCCTGCCTTCAGGTGCTTTGGAGAATGGGCTGACTCCCTCTTCTTTGTGGCAACCCCTTAAATATTGGAACACTGCTATCAAATAAAATAGGGAATCATCTATAAACTGCAATGTATGACAGATGTAAAGGCAATGGATCATATATTTCCATATTGGAAAGATCCTAATAATTGAATTTGTCTGCCATGAAGCTACAAAGGCAATGGAGCTAAGCTTTATCCAGATTTTAATTAGTAGGCATGGATAGGACCTAAGCCTCATCTGCTGTAAAACGAGGACTTCAGGTTGGTCAGCAAGGAAGCCATACTAGGAATACTATTTCAGATTAGCCAGCTTCAGCTTTAACCTCTGATTCAATAGAAATGGGAAGCATTCCATTCCCAGCATGGAAAGACCAACTGCAATCAGGACAGGCCCTCTATGCAGTTCCAAAGCTGCTGGGATGTCCAGGAATTCAATGTGCTGGGTGGAAAGGTCAGTGATGCATGGAGTGGGACTGTTTGCCTTGTACCCTTCACCGCCCCTTGTTTGCCCCCAGGGTTTCGCCCCCAGCCATTAACCTCTACCATTTGTCCTCCGCTGAAAAGACCCTAGCTGTTTGTCCTGGCCTCTTCAGTCCCAGAACCTTCATCACGGGCCATTTGGCGAAATACTGCTCATCCCGGGTTTTTGGACTCAGGAGCCAATCGGAGGAAGGGAAGGGAGTAAGAGAGAGGGAGGGAGGGAGTGTTCCGTGTGGAGTTTCCTCTCTGGGGCTGCTCTTCCCCCTTCCCCCTCTTCCCCTTTCCCAGGTCAAGACAAACAGTCCTTTTGTGGAGAGGAGGCAGAGCAGTGTGAGAGATGTAATAATGGAATCAAACAATTGACAAATCAACCTTAAATGAGAATAACCTTCGATGGAATCTGCTGTAATCGCATTTTGCTGTAGGGATGTCAAAACAATGTGTCATATATTTGCTGTTGTTGTAACCACAAAACCTCCATTTTGCCCAATCTATTTAAATGGATTTGCCTTAACAACACATGTATCTGCTTACAGTTTCTAATATGGAAGAGTCTGAATGGACGAGTGTGAAGGAGAAGCTGGGCTTGGACTTCCCAAATGTATGTAGCAGTTGTGAAATAAACAGCGGTATATTCCTATGGGTTGAGAGGGGATGGTGGCTCAAGTTACTGTTACTGCAATGAGGAGAGTCCTGAGATGTTGTAGAGGCAGTCAAGGCAGGAAAAATATCTTGACTGAAGTCTGCTTGATTGCAACCACGCTCTATAATTGCAGAGGGAAGGTGGGACAAGAAAAAAAATCAACGTGATCAGAGGTGGGTTCTTACAGGTTCGGACGAGTAGGTAATAACTTGGCCCGCCACGTCCCTGAACCGGTTCTATTGTAGTCAGCGCAATCTTGATTTTCATTGCCAAATTTTCTTTTCCCCCCCTTTTTTAATGTGTGCATGCGCAGTCCTTTTTAGGTGCAAATGCTCACGCGCACGCAAGGGAAATGAGTGTGTGTGCACACATTTTTTTGTGCGCCAAACTGGCAGCAGGAACCCACCCCTGAACATGATTGACCTTGGGACCCCAAATCCTAGTGTTTCACCTGAGCAGAATTACAAACAAGTGAACAGGCTGAGACGTTTCAAAGCAAAATACTGTAGAAATAGCTGGAAGTTTAAGTGTACTCAAATTCTGAATGGAAAAAGATGAAAGGACTGGGAATAAATTGGGAACGCTATATGGGAAAAGAATGTCTCAGGAGAGCAGAATGAATTAGAATGGGAGAAATAATTGGATATTTCCATTTAGTCTTGGCAGAAGCCAAAAGTTACTATTGTGGCCTCTGACAACTCTGTGCAAAAGTGTTGTATCCTAAGCAATGTGTGATCATAAAAACACGAATTCAAGCCACTCAAAAAATCCTCCTCTTGATTCATTCTAGAGTTTAAGAACTGTTCAAGGATCACGTTTGGACGACGTAATAATTCATAATATCTTTGCATCTTTACTCTTCTTCTTTTCCTTTCTCCCTAGCTCCCCTACCTTATTGATGGTGACAGAAAGATTTCCCAAAGCAACGCCATCCTGCGATACATTGCACGCAAGCACAAGATGTGTAAGTGGTTCAGACTCCCCTTCAATCTTGCTTTAAAAATGATTTCCTTCAAATAATTGCAGATTCTTAGTTCTGTAGGACTTTGTGTTGCCACAGGTGGTGAAACTGAAGACGAAACAATCAGTATGGACATACTGGAGAACCACCTCATGGATTTCCGTGTGAGCTTTGCACACTTGTGTTACAGTCCGGATTTTGTGAGTGTTGTGCTTTCTGTCTTCCTTCAAAATGCTATCAGACTGTAACAGGTGGTCTGAAGATCAGCTTGGGCTTGTTTTGGAGTGAGTGGATAGAGCCGTGATGGTGAACCTATGGCACATACGCCAGAGATGGCACACAAGCCGTTGCCCCAGTTCAGCTCCGCCACACATTCATGTGCACCTCCTGGTGGCCAGCTGGTCTTTGGGTCTCTGCCACAAATGTGCAGGGGTAGTGTGTGTGTGGAAGGCATCTGCATGTATGTGGGAGGAGCGTGGCATGCATGGGGATGTGCATGCATGCACAGGACATGTGTGGGGATGCATGCATGGGAGGCAGGGTGCATGCATAAGGCCACACCCACATTGCATTTTGGGGGTTCGCGTATGCGCATCTGTGGGGGCTTTGGTCACTCAGTCCGGAAAAGGTTAGCCATCTCTGGGATAGATTAATTCAGTCCTCTATTGCTAGGTAGGAAGGAGAGAGAAAAGTTCTGCATGAGTGATTGAGCTGAGGGGAAGGAACAAAAAAGGAAAATGGGAAATTGCTAAGTTCAAAGTTTCACAACAATTTGTCTAGAAGCCAGGCTCTATATAATCATCTCTTTTTGCAGGAAAAACTAAAGCCTGGCTATTTGGAATCACTACCTGGGAAACTCAAGCTGTTCTCTCAATTTCTGGGGGACAGGCAGTGGTTTATAGGAAGAAAGGTATTTATGTTCTAGGCAATTTACATCAAACTATGCTACTTGGCACATTTTATTCTTCCATTTAAAAATATTTTCCCGCTGTTAATTTTTCTAGCTCACCTACATAGATTTCATTGCTTATGATGCGTTAGATGTACATCAAATGCTGGACCCAAAATGCTTGGATCAGTTCCCAAATCTGAAGGAGTTCCTACATCGCTTTGAGGTGAAATGCCTTTTGCTTTATACATGAATCTCTACCAATAATTACTGAAAGTTTGCAGTAGTAAAGTGAATATGATTTTCATCCCAATAAAGCCAAGGTGTGAATCTAATAGTGTTCATATGGCATGTAAGCCAGGATCTTTGCAGCAAAGTCAGCATGCAGCAGTTTAAGGGGGAGAAACTGGGAATATGTATCGGGATCTATAGAAAAATGGAGCAACCTATATTCCTTCCAGCTCTCCCATATTGCAAACACATTGCCAATTGAAAGCAAGAGCAATATAGCTTTTCAGATACCAAACAGAAATTTGTAGTTTTGTTCTGGCTTAGGCTATTGTGCTGTGTAATGGCAACACTAGGCAATGACAAATAACCTTCTTTTGGCTTTCTCGGTAGGCCTTGGAGATGATTGCTCCCTACCTGAAATCAAATCGCTGCATCAGAAGTCCAATCTTTTGGAGTTCTGCCACGTGGGGTGGCAACAAAATCTAGAAGAGACCACAAGTTTCAGGAGAGGAACAACTGGAACTGCCATATGAAAGAGGGATCTTCATTAGTCCTCCATATTTCCAAACTTGATTATGGCATGCATTCACCTAATAAAGAATATAAGAAACTGGAAAAAAACCCGAGTCTGTTTCTTAATCCCTCTCTGGCCTGTTTCCCCACTTTAAATTTGGGCTCCAATGTTGCAGCAAAGGAGGTTACTTTTTATAGATCCTAAATGGTGCTTAGGTAACAAACTATGTTACCCCATGTCTTTTTCCTGAGAACTCTGCTTCTTTCAATAGGGGAAAGGCAGATTAAGTTCATGAGGAGCATTTTCAATCAGAATAGAGCTGGAAGGGACCTTGGAGGTCATCTAGTCCAACCCCCTGCTCAAGTAGGAGACCCTATACCAGTGATGGCGAACCTTTTCGGCCATCAGTGCTAAAAAGGTTGCACAGAAACATCACATGTACACATGAGTGCTCATTGGGGCCGCGCTCCGGAAAAGCCAAACTTCCAGGTTCTAGCGCACATGCGCACCCGGCAATCAGTTGGCTGGCATGCATGCACAGACCAATTTTTTTAGCACTGCCACACACATGAAGGGATCGTGCTCCAGAAAAACTGAACTTCTGGCATGCACATCAGACAATCAGCTGGCTGGCACACATGCGCACACAGGTTTTCAGCACTGCCGTGCACGAGGACAGCTGATCATCACATGCGCATGCATGTCAGAAACCCAGAAAACAAACAGGCAAGGCCACGCATGCCGGGTGACATGGCTTTGTGTGCCACTTTGGCCATGCATGCAGAGAGGTTCACCATCACGGCCCTATTCCATTTCAGACAAGTAATTGTCCATTCTTAAAAACCTCCAGTGTTGGAGCATTCACAACTTCTGAAGGCAAGCCATTTCACTGCTTCATTGTTCTCACTGCTAGGAAGTTTCGCCTTAATTCCAAGTTGCTTCTCTCCTTGACTAGTTTCCATCCATTGTTTCTTGTCTTGCCTTCTGGAGCTTTGGAAAACAAGCTGACTCCCTCCTCTTTGTGGCAGCTCAAATACTGGAATACTGCTATCAAGTCCGCAGAGTCCTTCTTTTCTTTAGACTAATATTTCATACTACTGGTTTTGATTTCCCAGCCTCTACAGTTTAATAAAAGCCATCTGTCTTCACTTATGAACTCAGAAGCACTGAGAAAAGGAGAAAGCCTCACTCCCCCACCCCACCCCACCCCGCCAGCTGCCCTGATTCTTGCAACAAAGGAAAATGGCCCTCTTCTCTCTGTGCAGAAAAGAGAAGCAAAAAAACCAGGCAGCTTGGACAAGAGAAAGGGCATATTGACAAAGTAGCATCAATCCCACCTTGCCTTTGTTCTACTGAGAGATAAGAAGCAAAGAATTGGATTTGCTAGACCAGTTGAAGCTTCAGAACAAGAGGGGAGGGGAAAGGGAGGCTCCGCTGCCTATTGATGCATGGCCTCCAATTGTCAGCCCTCGTTTACTCTGCTATCTAAAGAGCTGCACAGTTGGCACATCAGGTTCTTCCGCAACCAAAGAAGCCATCGGCCCTGGAAGGCCTTTAGTGCAGATGGGCCAAGGCCTCTGAAAGTGGGCAGCTACAGCAGGGGGCACTAATGGGAGATTCCCATTCTGAAGGCTGCCCAGCATGTGCCAGAGCTGAACAAATAGCAGCTGTGCCATGCAAAGTAGCTGCCACTGCATGTTCACTTTGAAGCCCCTTTGGCATGCACTGAGAGTTCCCCAGGACTGAACCAATGATTTTTTTTTATTAAAGCTTATAGGCCGCCCTTTTCCCTGAGGGGACTCAGGGCGGCTTACAAATCATGGGAAGGGGAGTGCAAGACAAAAAAAAAATAAAAACTGGTGGGAAAAAAAAAAAAAAGAAAATAACAATAAAACACAACTTTCATTCAACATTCGGGTGGGGCGGATTAGAATCTTATCCCCAGGCCTGACGGGATAGCCAGTTCTTAAGGGCTGTGCGGAAGGTCTGGACGGTGGTGAGGATACGAATCTCCACGGGGAGATCGTTCCAAATGATGTTGCAATGCAGGGATTATGAACTCTGCTGGCCTCTTTAAGGCAGTGAATCAGGTCCTCTCCATCACAGAATGCTTCTTTTATTTCTCACTAGTTGATAACCCGGTGTTGTCCGGGTATTTATTTATAGGGGGGAAATATCCAGACCAAACGTAATTTCTAATGTTGGATTTACCCCCTTACCAGAGGGAGCCCCCTTGTGGAGTACTGTGAAGCCATTACCATGGCAAGTTCACTGTGCTCTACAGTAGAAGTCATTTTAAGACACAACAGACTGTATCTTAACACACACCCTGAGCGATTTTAGGGGTGTCTTACCCCCACAGTATTTGTTTCCAGAGAGTAAGTGATCTGTGTACCAAGTTTGGTTGAATTGCTGGAGGTATTTCAGAGTTATGCTGGAACATGCATATCCACCCACAGCTGTTGATAGATAGATGATAGATAGATTATTTTAAGCTGGGAGGGGCCCAAATGGGTGTGGAAGGAGAGGCAAACCAACTAGTCTAGATGGATCAGGGAAAAATCTGTAACCAGACACTTCTTATTCCTGCTGTAATACTCTAATGAGGGTGGGGGTGTTCACCTTGTTGGCTGATGAACTGCAAGAAAGTAATGGCAGCAGAGCCAGGTGAGAAAGCTAACCCCCCTCACCTGTTGGTCCACTCGCTCCCTCGGTCTCTTCTGATCAAGAACAGCCTCCAACATTGGAAAACTGGGATCCACAGTAGGATTGCTAATTTCATAACAGCAGTGGGTAGCTAGTCCTTGGATTCCATAATGGGAAAACTGAGGAGGTGATTTACAATTTTTTCACAGGGATTGAGAAATCTGAAACCTCTCCCAAAGACTATAAAATGTACATGCGCGCGCACACACACACAAAATTTGGGGAGCGCATGTTATAAAGCTGTTTGGGATACAGCATCTGCTTCTGATGCTGGTACATATCTACCATGGTAAATTAGATGCATAGTTGAATATGATTTTTAGACTCTACCAGCAGTTTCAAATTCAATATAGCAGAGAGTATCTCCCACCCTCCTAACCCCAAACAATTATTTCTTCTAATTGCAGATAATTTTTTCCCCATAATGTATTCTAGAATTGTCACAAACAGTTAAATCATTTGGTTTTGTCTTTCCTTCCTTCCTTCCTTCCTTCCTTCCTTCCTTCCTTCCTTCCTTCCTTCCTTCCTTCCTTCCTTCCTTTCCTCTCTGTCTCCATCCCTCTCCCTTTTTTTGCATTTCACTTGTTCTTTTTAGTCCATTATATATTTGGCTCTGTGCCAAAAGATGGTGAAATAATGAGCCTCGCTGTAATCATGTGCTACATTGTATAAAGTGGTGAACAGCACTTTATACTGTTCACCAACACTGCTGGCAGACTGTGCCTGTGAATAGGGAAAGGTTGTCATAGAAGAACTAAAAACCACACCAGTTCAAAGAACACTCTGTCCTAGCCTAATACTCTTCAATATCTTCATAAACAATTTAGATGAGAGGAGAGATTGGGAAGTCATCAAATTTGCAGGTGACACCAAGCTGGCAGGAAGAGCCAACACTCCAGAAGACAGGCTCAAGATACAGAAGGATCTTGACAGACTTGAACACTGGGCCCTATCTAACAAAATGAAATTCAGAGGTGAGAAAAGTGAAGGTTCTACATTTAAGCAAGAAACACCAAACACACTGGTATCAAATAGGTGGCACCTGGTTCAATAGTAGTAACTGCAAGAGGGATCCTGGAGTCCGAGTGGGCATCCCAGCAGTGTGTCAGCTGTCAAAAAAGCCAACACCCTAGGCTGCATTAACAGAGATATAGAATAAAGATCATGTGAAGTCTTAGAAGTGTTAGAACTTGTACAGTCCAGAGTTCTACTGTACAGACATCTGGATCAAAAATGAAAAGATAGAACAAAGGACCAATGATTCCATTTCAGCTGCTATTATGCAAGTAGAATCATGCAGATGTGGGAAAATGAGATACTGTAAAAACAATTTTGAAAATATTCTTTATTTAAAGTATCACATTAAAGGGCAACACCTAGCAACTCCGATTTAGAAAATGCAGCTCAACAGTCAAGCATGTCTACAGGCTATGCAAACGAAAAGTCAAGATACTGGCTACAATGGTACAATTGAAGTTCTGCTTCTTCTTTTTAATGTGCATTAAAAATATACTCCCTTTTTATAACCCTGTAGTCTATTAAATTTGGGGTACAGTCAGGCTGACTGACGGAGGTAAGCATTTACTGGCTGGATTCCCTTCCAGCAGATAATTTTTTCTTAGCACCCATCTACTGCTACCTAGGATTGAACTCTCAACTAATTGAACTCTCAAGTGGGAGGCCAGCATCTTCACCACTAGACCACCATGGCACCAAATATACATAAACATGGATGGTATTTAGAACAGACCATGAAGGGTGTTTGGTGCTGTCTGAGCTGGCTTGTTTTCTTGCAGACTTTCATTACCCAAACTAGGTAGTACTGATGATGTTACCTAGTTTAGGTAATGAAATGTCTGCAAGAAAACAGACCAGCTCAGAAAGCACCAAGGACCCCTCATGTCAACCCTTAGCTAAAAATATTCTCCTTTGTACTTTGTAGAATGGAATGGAATAGAATTTTTGGCCAAGTGTGATTGGACACACAAGGAATTTGTCTTTGGTGCATATGCTCTCAGTGTACATAAAAAGACAAGATACATTCATCAAGAATCATAAGGTACAACTTAATGATAGTCATAGGGTACAAATAAGCAATCAAATCATACCAGGAAATATAAATTGCAAGGATACAAGCAACAAAGTTACAGACATACAGTCATAAGTGGGAGGAGATGAGCGATAGGAGATGAGAAGATTAATAGTAATGCAGACTTAGTAAATAGTTTAAGTGTTGAGGGAATTATTTGTTTGGTAGAGTGATGGCGTTGGGGGGAGGACTGTTCTTGTGTCTAGCTGTTCTGGTGTGCAGTGCTCTCTATGTACTTTGTATTAGATCACAGTCACACCATCGTCATCTCTGCAGACAAATTTCAAGATTCAGTCAGGCTTAGGGCCACCA